GTGTGTGTGTGTGTGTGTGTGAGTGTGTGTGTGTGTGTGTGTGTGTGTGTGTGTGTGTGTGTGTGTGTGTGTGTGTCAAATGTCGCTCTGTGTGTAAAGTTGTCTGATTTAATTTACTTTCTGCAGCACGTTGCCTTGAAGAGGGTTGCGTCGGAGGATACAGGTGCCATTTGGGGCGGCGTAAGTCTTCACGTCGATCGTGTAAGCTCCTTTCCTTCGCAGGGTGACCATATCAAAGCCCTCCCCCACCAGGTTGTAGCCTGGCACGAAGGGAGCGGACTTGCACTCGGCCGTGACCTCACAGGAGAGAACGAGGGAGTGGTGCGACAGAAAGAGGAGGAGACTCAGGTAGAGAGGGGATGGAGTTGAGAGGGAGAGCATGGCTGGGGTCAAAGAGACACTGAAATGTTTCACACAAAGACAGAGAGAACAGGAAAGGAAATCAGTGACTATCATTTCAGCTGTAATGTAATTATTCATAAAGTTATCAAGCACTGTAATGTTTTTTTTGGTAAATAGGCTCTATGATTCTTTGAATTTCAATCTCCGTCAACCTGTCTTGGCATAAAAACATCAGTTACTGAGTTTTCAGTTTCTTCTTGCTGTGGTGCTCTGGAAGTCTGACTGTATTTGTCTATCCCTAATTCATTCACATAATGTTTGATGAAAATGTTCTGTTACTGGCACATGTTCAGTGGCCCTAGCATTTATGTATGATAAGCATGTATGATATTTAAGCAGAAACATAAAAGTGTGACCTGAATAATTAATGGTATTGTGGTTAAGTCATTACAAAGAGTGGGAGCGCACTTTAGTAGTGCTAAGGAGTCATGGTGATGCAGCCACAGCTATTTGTCAGCAGCTGTGAGCTACATGTAACTCAATTAAAAAAAGAAATAAATATTTAAAAAAAAACCTATAATAACATTGCTGGTTCTCAGCCACACTAGTCATATAGGAAAAAGCCAAAAATCCCTAAATGGTCAGTGCACAGTGTTTAAAAAATAAATTATTTCCTGATGACAAAATAAACAAACTACTTAACAGGAATCTCAGAATGACATAAATAAAATAGACTTCCACCCTAACCAAACTTTTTGTAATTTGATTTGAGACCCTTTAAATATTAATTAATGTGCATAATTTAATGAAAATAACATTACCTGTTCATTCCTGCAGTGTGAATCTGCCAGTGAGCTGCAGATGAGGAGTGTGTCAGCCGAGGATGTGGCGACACTGTCCAGTCTGCAGGTAACAGCACTTTTATATGGTGGGTCACACGAGGAGTCGTGCACATGGGAGTAGTTCTTGAAATTCTGCACATGTCATGAATACAAGACAAACCACATTTTACACTACATTGAAATTGGCAGAACAAACCATACCTTCATGCCAAGTTCAATTTGTATGAAGCAGCTTGAATTACAACATTTTTCTTCATTGCAAGGAACTTGAAAATTATACTATTTAATCTCCACCCTCAACCATGAGATCTTGTGATTTAAAGTTTTGACATGCATTACATCTGCACTTAGATTTTGAATATCAATTAAAAAAAATTAAAAATTAAAAATACAGTAACATATTTTGTTCTAATTCACAATTCTAGATTTATAGATATAAAAAAACTTTTTTGCATTAATGTGGAAAACAGAAAGTGTCTGGTTACACGTCACAAGTAATAGCCTATCAACGCTGGGGGCTGCTGTGTACAGGGTCACATAAATAAATACAGAAGATCAACAATAGACTGATTTAGTGTAACAAATGAAAGTGCTGAGCCTGTGTGATTGGAAATAAATGAAAGTGTTGAACCTGTGTGATTGGAAATAAATGCAAGTGAAAGCATGTCAGTCATACATAGGCCAGCCTGCAAAACTGTGACAGTGTGTACCTGGTGTGCACGTGTGGAATGGATGGGCCACTTGTAATGACAAACCCTAATTGTCTAGAAGTGGTTTTCAAGAGCCCTTGAGTTAGACATAGAAATGTTTCTGTTCACAGCAGCAGCAGAAGGAAGTCAAGGAGTTTACAATATTGTCAGGATGATGTTAAAATACAATAAAATAAACCTGAGGCTGTGATGATGTTTGCTAATGATCAGTCTCCTGTATTTAATCAATGGAAATTTTGATGGTCCTAAAAGCCGTCCAAAGAAACTGACTCCCAACTACAAATGTGTTCCAGAAAAAAAGTATTAAACTGCGACTAATTCAGTTAAATAAGTTCATGATAAAACACATTCACTTAAAATCATGACAACACCAGTGATCTATTGTGTTTTATCTAATCTTCCTTTTAGTGTTCCCGAATCCTGCTTTACAGATATTAATTCTCATATATTAGTTATATGAACATCAACATTACCGCACTAGATGTAGATTTTCTCTTTTATATTTTAAATGCTACTACTGGGCTATCAATCTAAACTGAACTGGACAAACTTCAGTTATTGCAGAACAGAGCAGCACGATGAGCACTCCTCTTTCAAATGAGAGTACTAGTGATAAGACTACAGATAAAATGCACGCTGGTTTAAAGAAGAAAACTGGATTGCCTAACTTTGTTTAGAAATGTAGTTTTAAAACAACTTCACAATCTGTATTTTTTATGGAAGCAATTTTTTTGGTTGATAAGTGAAAAGTTTGACCTGCTGCTGGTGCTACATGAAAAATGAGGGACCTATAAATATCAATACAATGTCCCTTAACAGGTTAGTGCATCTGGCAAAACTGTGACAGTGTGTAGCTGGTGTGTACCTGTGGAATGAATGGGGCCACGTGTAATGACGTGCAAGACAAATACAAAATTTGGTGCCAATACATACAGTAGAGTAGATGTTGAGATATTTCACTGAATAAGTGAGAAGTCTGATCTACTAGTGGTAATACAGGAAAAGTCTAATTATCAGAGTTTATCCTCTGAGGAGCATGAATGTCTGTACAAAACTTAAAAGACATCCGTCCAATATAGGTGTTGAGATTAGGGGTGTTGTTGCACATTTCTCAGCGCAGTATTTACCTCCGTGTTTTGATGATGAGTCACCCTGATGGATGACTTACATACTTTCACTTTCATTTATTTCCATTCTCACAGGTTTGACACCATTCTTGTTACACTAAATAAGTCTATTGTTGATATTCTATTTTTATTTCACAAAAGAAATTTATGTTTCCACGCCTGGTTTGTCCAGTGTAGCTAATATTTTCGTCTGATCCACCTGAAGGTTGCGTTAACAGGTGTCATAATGATAATAATAATGTTAATAATAATAAAAATAATTTCAAAAATAATAAAAAATATTAACATTAAATTAAGTATGTTTAAGTCTCCTTAAGGAATTACATAAAACCATTTTATTCAAATTTATATATATAAAGAAAAATGAATAAATGAGTCAAATAAGTGCATTTACAGGATAAATTAAACAAACCTTCAGTTAGCTAGAGACGCCAATATGGTGCAAATTCCTTCACCCTTATTTTTCACATACATTAAATAGATGTTGAGCTATTTCACTGAATAAGTAAAACGTCTGATCTGATGTAGTCATTAGAGTTTATCCTCTGAGGAGCATGCATTTCTGAATAAAATTTCAGATCCATCTAGAAAGTCTGGACGTGGTGTCAGTGTTGCTAACATGTCTAAAAACATCCACCGTTTCTGATTAGCAGACTACAGCTCTGGCTCATCTGGTTCTGTCTATAGACATCAACCTGGTGCAAATTCCCTCGCCCATATTTTTTTTTTATCCAATTGTTTTTTTGTTCAGTTTATTTGTCTTTTTCTTGTTGAAACTGATAAAATATTAATACACAATAAAAACTAAAACGTGTAAGCTTCATGGATGTAAATATGTTTAATTCTATAGCCATCATAACATCACAGCAGTAAAACAAGCGACCAAAGCTCTGACACTATTAGCTGCTGTGAACCGAACCATTTCTATGTTTACTTCGAGGGTTCTTAGAAACCACTTCCAGACAATTAAACATTATTTGTCATTACATGTGCTCCATCCATTCCACAAGTGCACACCAGCTATATCTTGTTTTGTCAGAAGGCCCATGTATGACTGACATACTTTCACTTTCATTTCTTTACAGTTACAGGTTAAATCAAAACAAAAAGCAAAACACAAGACACATTATTATTTTCTCTCTAAAATGTATCAGGTTCAGTATTGAGGAATGGCCATGCCTTCTTGTCAAATGCAAGATATTTTATGTTTTGTTCAGTTCAGTGCTGCTTTGCTTTGCAGTCATATGATGTGTTCACATTATCATGGGAAAAACTGCTTTCCTGTGCATCCAACACCGTTTGACTCTCTGACTCATTATGATCTTCTGCTAGCAACAGTAGCATTGTACTAAATGAAGTGGTAAATACTGCGCTGAGAGATATACCCCTTGTTTTACTGTGATGTTAATATGTCTATAGAATGAAATCCTTGAAGCTTACACGTCAGTTTATTTTGTATTAATGTTTTATCACTTCCAACAAGAAAAAGACAAATAAACTTAACAAAAACAATTGGATGAAAAAAATGTGAGTGAGCAAATTTGCACCACATTGACGTCTCTAGACACTGACTGTTCAGCTTTGAGCCAGATGAGCCAGAGCAAGGGCCCTCCTGATTATGTTTCCTGCTTCTTCCAAGTTCCCATTAAATCCTGTCAACCAGACCTTCTGAGCTGAAGCAGTACTAAATGTCTTAGTTTGTGTTAATTTGATTAAACACAACTTTATTTAAGAATATTCTCATACGAAGGAAATGAGAACAGAAATAATGAAACTAGTTTTTCACCAAGGGATCTTCCGCAAGACATGACCAGATAACTATAGCTAACAGGCCTAATGCAGGACTCACCTTAGTTTATATTGTACTTTGATGCTGCAAATGACTGGGGCATCTGAGGAGTTTGCCACTTTAACTAGTTTGTTGTCTAGCCTTCAACATGAAGTGTTGGAAACCACAACCCCATAACTGGGCGTGTCTGTGTTTTGCTTCAGCATCCCTCAGCCGCTGTCATTTTCCAGTGTAAGATCATTTATAGAGCTGTGTTAGTAGTCTTTTGACCACGTGGGGGCAGAATTGCTCCAACACAAGCTGACAAACCAGCAGTGCTGAGGTATTAGTGCCTTCTAAAGTCATTAAACCTCCAAATAAATGATTTTTTTAAGCATGTAGGTGCTGTAGAAACAACACTAACATCGCATTTTAAGTTGATATTGAGAACTTGGACAAAGCAGACAACTGCCCCTGGTCACAGGGTTAGGAACCCCAGAGACCCAAAAAGCCCCAGGTTCACTTTAAATGAAATGGCTGAATTTGAACCATTAAAAAGCAAAATCAATCTTCATCACTGAAGCTTGTGACCCTGGTTTTGTAGAGGGGCGGTGTGTCCGGTTTTATTTTTTATTTTTGGCTGTTTATTTTTATACCATTATTATTTGAATTTGTATTGTGATCATGTGTCGCCTATATATTATTAAATAACATGAACTTGGACTTACTAATACAAATTAGTTTAAAGATCTTTAAAAAATACTTAATATGTTTCAGTGTTTTTATTGGCTTGAGAAAGACAAGACAAATATAGTAACTCTGATAATGCACAGAAGTCAGCAGAAGGATTTCACAGTTTTGACACATGAATTCAGAAAATAATCAAAAGCATCTTTATATGACAAAAGCAGAATCTAAGATTCAAATGTGGCCCCTCCACCCAGTAAACAGGACTACTATCGCTCCAATAATCAAACATGGCTGAACACTAAACTACAACTGAATTTAAGTTGAGAAACACATATGATGCTGAATATAGACTTAAATTACAGAAGTGAATAAGTATTACCAAATCTTTAAAACTGGAAACCGAATGGTGTGACACTCATTTTACTTAAAACCTGTGTGAGCGTGCCACCCAGAATGCATTCCTCAGTACCGAGATGGTTTGTACTGGTGGCACCTGTCTCCGGTCAGGTGGCGGTCGCAGGTGAGAGTGTACAGGATCTCGAAGCCGCCTCTCTTGGCTGGGCAGGTGAATCTGTGTGTCCCCTGCCTCAGGGTCCTTGTACATGACCCCAGACGGTCGTCTCTGCCCCAGTCTTCATCCCAGACTTCAACCTTCAGACCCAAGTGTGTGTCCACCTTCATAAACAAATCAGTGAAAGCTAAATGAAAATAATATCAAAACATACTATATATCCCACAGTCAGTTTACACAACCTTAGATTTATGCATTTTTACAAAATGCTTGTTGCCTTTGTTAAATATGTTTTCACAACTAATCACATCAAACCATGAGACAAACATGGCTAGCTGACATCTGATGTTTCATAAGCGGGAATATACAAAGTACTTTATGAATGAATATTCAGTAACTGAACAGTGTGGAAAGTGGAAAGGCCAAAAGTCCTCACTAAGACCAGGAAAGTGGTTCACATCCCTCCAGTTTTCAGAGCCGACCTTCAGATTATCATGTTAGTTCATACAGCACTGAATGGTTTGGGGTCAGATACATTTCTAATCTGTTGCTCTGTTGTGACCCATCCAGACTCCTCATATCATCTGTGACAGGTCAAAGGAAGCAGCATTCAGTTTCTATGCTCTACAAACCTGGAACAAACTCCCAGAAAACTCTGCCTCAACTCACACTTTTCTGTTTGCTGCTGCATTTTATTAAGTTAGACGTTTTAGCTTCGGTTTTATTATACACTTAAATCCAATTTAACGTAACGTAAAATCACTAAATCTCTCATTTACAAAACAAATTTAATTCCAGTTTTGATTTTGATTTCTTTCACTGTCAGAAATCTGGAAGCTGCTGTGTGAGAAGAAGATTAACACTGACCTTGCCCAGATCATAACGTGCGTTCCAGCGAGGGCTGTTTGATCTGATCATACGGGTCTTGCGGTAGATGGAGCCGTACCACATCTTAGCATATCTGTGAAATGGAAAGGAAAATACCTGTATCAATATTTGTGTTTGATGCATCACATTCACTGTGCCATCTCTCTGTATCTCGACTTGTTCTCTACGCACCCCTCAGTCCTGCCCCATCTATCTCCTTTCAGTCCCCAGGCTCGGACGATGGTCACCACCAGTCTTCCCTTCGAGGCCTGTTTAGGACAGCAGCTGGAATCCAGGTTAGGGTCATGCCAGCCACAGTACGGTTGTGTTGTTGAGCTCTTGATGCCGTGGTCTTTTAAGTACTGCTCTATGGCGAGGCTATCGGCGAACCTTCAGTCCTTATTTTTTGTCGTGTTGGCACAGCTCGTACAGTGGGTTTCAGGGAGTACCGAACAAACATCAGGTGACTCCCTGAGGGGTTTTCAGAGCCAATTTCGGTAGCCCACGGATCGTTCCTGGATGAGTGCAAACTCCCCAACCCAACCTTGCCTCCTAACACCTCTGTGTAATGCCTGTGGAGTCCAGAGCTGAACAAGGAGAATGCCCATGGTTCTGTAGGACTTTGCTGCAGTACTTTTGATGGTAGCAGAACAGTCTTGATCTTCCCCAGCCTACATTGATACCCTGTGGACAAGCAGCTGTGCACTAGATGACAGGAGGGGATTTTAGATGTGTGCTTTTATTGGTACAGAGTGGGTCTACTGGTTTCACATAGTAAATGTGTGGCTCATCTACCGCAGACCCGTATGATCAGATCAAAACAGCCCTCGCTGGAACGCACGTTATGATCTGGGCAAGGTCAGTGTTAATCTTCTTCTCACACAGCAGCTTCCAGATTTCTGACAGTGAAAGAAATCAAAATCAAAACTGGAATTAAATTTGTTTTGTAAATGAGAGATTTAGTGATTTTACGTTACGTTAATTGGATTTAAGTGTATATAAAAACCGAAGCTAAAACGTCTAACTTAATAAAATGCAGCAGCAAACAGAAAAGTGTGAGTTGAGGCAGAGTTTTCGGGAGTTTGTTCCAGGTTTGTAGAGCATAGAAACTGAATGCTGCTTCCTTTGACCTGTCCAGATGATATGAGGAGTCTGGATGGGTCACAACAGAGCAACAGATAGAAATGTATCTGACCCCAAACCATTCAGTGCTGTATGAACTAACATGATAATCTGAAGGTCGGCTCTGAAAACTGGAGGGATGTGAACCACTTTCCTGGTCTTAGTGAGGACTTTTGGCCTTTCCACTTTCCACACTGTTCAGTTACTGAATATTCATTCATAAAGTACTTTGTATATTCCCGCTTATGAAACATCAGATGTCAGCTAGCCATGTTTGTCCATGGTTTGATGTGATTAGTTGTGAAAACATATTTAACAAAGGCAACAAGCATTTTGTAAAAATGCATAAATCTAAGGTTGTGTAAACTGACTGTGAGTATATATAGTATGTTTTGATATTATTTTCATTTAGCTTTCACTGATTTGTTTATGAAGGTGGACACACACTTGGGTCTGAAGGTTGAAGTCTGGGATGAAGACTGGGCAGAGACGACCGTCTGGGGTCATGTACAAGGACCCTGAGGCAGGGGACACACAGATTCACCTGCCCAGCCAAGAGAGGCGGCTTCGAGATCCTGTACACTCTCACCTGCGACCGTCACCTGACCGGAGACAGGTGCCACCAGTACAAACCATCTCCATATGAGAATGCATTCAGTACTGGTGGCAGCTCCTGGCTTGTCTTTAACCATGTGAAATCATTGTGTTTTTTTAATGAATACCCGACACACATAAGTTAAGTAAAATAGTGTCACACCATTCGGTTTTCCAGTTTTAAAGATTTGTAATACTTATTCACTTCTGTAATTTAAGTCTATATTCAGATCATATCGTGTTTCTAACTTAAATTCAGTTGTAGTTTAGAGTGTTCAGCCATGTTTGATATATTGAGCGATAGTAGTCCTGTTTACTGGGTGGAGGGCCACATTTGAATCTTAGATTCTGCTTTTGTCATATAAAGATGCTTTTGATTTATTTCTGAATTCATGTGTCAAAACTGTGAAATCTTTTGCTGACTTCTGTGCATTATCAGAGTTACTAATATTGTCTTTGTCTTTCTCAAGCCAATTAAAAAACTTGAAACAATTAATATTTTATTAAAGACTTCTAATTGTATAGTAAGTCCAAGTGATGTTATTTAATAATATATAGGCGACACATGATCAAAATACAATTCAAAATAATAATGGTATAAAAAATAAACAGCCAAAATAAAAATAAAACCGGACAACCACACGCCCCTCTACAAAACCAGGGGTCACAAGCTTCAGTGATGAAGAATATTTTGCTTTTTAATGGTTCAAATTCAGCCATTTCATTTAAAGTAAACCTGGGGCTTTTTGGGTCCTGGGGTTCCAACCCTGTGACCAGGGGCAGTTGTCTGCTTTGTCCAAAGTTCTCAATATCAACTTACAAGCGATGTTAGTTGTTTGTTCTACAGCACCTACATGCTTAAAAAATCAGTTATATTTGGAGGTTTAATGACTTTAAAGGCACTAATACCTCAGCACTGCTGGTTTGTCAGCTTGTGTTGGAGCAATTCTGCCCCCACGTGGTCAAAAGACTACTAACACAGCTCTATAAATGATCTTACACTGGAAAATGACAGCGGCTGAGTGGATGCTGAAAGCAAAACACAGACACGGCACGTTATGGGGTTGTGGTTCCAACACTTCATGTTGAACGGCTTGACAACAAACAGTTAAAGTGGCAAACTCCTCAGATGCACCCAGTCATTTGCAGCATCAAAGTCAATATAAACTAAGGTGGTCCTGCATATGGCCTTTAGCTATAGTTATCTGGTCATGTCTTGCGGAAGTCCCTTGGTGAAAACTAGTTCATTATTTCTTCTCATTCCTTCGTATGAGAATATCTTAATAAAGTTGTGTTTAATCAAATTAACACAAACTAAGACATTTAGTACTGCTTCAGCTCAGGAGTCTGGTTGACAGGATTTAATGGGAACTTGGAAGAAGCAGGAAAACATAATCAGGAGGGCCCTTGCTCTGGCTCATCTGGCCACTCAAAGACTGAACAGTCAGTGTCTCTAGAGAACGGCAATGTGTGCAAATTTGTACTCCTCACATTTTTTCATCCAATGTTTTTGGTTAAGTTTATTTGTCTCTTTTCTTCGTTGGAAGTATCTAAATATTAAGTACAAAAATAAACTGACGTCTAAATGTAAGCTTCAAGGATTTCATCTATAGACATATTAACATCACAGTTAAACAAAGGGTATATCTCTCAGCTGCAGTATTTACCACCTTCATTTAGTACAATGCTACTGTTGCTAGCAGCAGATCATAATGAGTCAGAAGAGTCAAACGACGTGTGGATGCACAGGAAAGCAGTTTTTCCCATGATAATGTGAACACATCATATGACTGCAAAGCAAAAGCAGCATTGAACCTGAACAAAACATAAAATATCTTGCATTTGATAAGAAGCATGCCATTCCTCAATACTGAACCTGATACATTTTAGAGAGAAAATAATAATGTGTCTTGTGTTTTGCTTTTGTTTTGATTTAACCTGTAACTGTAAAGAAATGAAAGTGAAAGTATGTCAGTCATACATGGGCCTTCTGACAAAACAAATATAGCTGGTGTGCACTTGTGGAATGGATGGAGCACATGTAATGACAAATAATGTTTAATTGTCTGGAAGTGGTTTCTAAGAACCCTCAAGAAACATAGAAATGGTTCGGTTCACAGCAGCTAATAGTGTCAGAGCTTTGGTCGCTTGTTTTACTGCTTGATGTTATGATGGCTATAGAATTAAACATATTTACATCCATGAAGCTTACACGTTTTAGTTTTTATTGTGTAAATTAATATTTTATCAGTTTCAACAAGGAAAAAGACAAATAAACTGAACAAAAAAAAACAATTGGATAAAAAAAAAATATTGGGCGAGGGAATTTGCACCAGGTTGATGCTATAGACAGAACCAGATGAGCCAGAGCTGCAGTCTGCTAATCAGAAACGGTGGATGTTTTTAGACATGTTAGCAACACTGACACCACGTCCAGACTTTCTAGAAGAGATCTGAAATTTTATTCAGAAATGCATGCTCCTCAGAGGATAAACTCTAATGACTACATCAGATCAGACGTTTTACTTATTCAGTTGAAATAGCTCAACATCTATTTGAATGTATGGTGAAAAAATAAGGTGGAAGGAATTTGCACCATAATTGGCGTCTCTAGCTTAACTGAAGGTTTGTTTAATTTATCCTGTAAATGCACTTATTTGACTCATTTATTCATTTTTCTTTATATATATAAATTTGAATAAAATGGTTTTATGTAATTCCTTAAGGAGACTTAAACATACTTAATTTAATGTTAATATTTTTATTATTTTTGAAATTATTTTTATTATTATTAACATTATATTATCATTATGACACCTGTTAACGCAACCTTCAGGTGGATCAGACGAAACATATAGCTACACTGGACAAACCAGGCGTGGAAACATAAATTTCTTTTGTGAAATAAAAATAGAATATCAACAATAGACTTATTTAGTGTAACAAGAATGGTGTCAAACCTGTGAGAATGGAAATAAATGAAAGTGAAAGTATGTAAGTCATCCATCAGGGTGACTCATCATCAAAACACGGAGGTAAATACTGCGCTGAGAAATGTGCAACAACACCCCTAATCTCACACCTATATTGGACGGATGTCTTTAAGTTTTGTACAGAACATTCATGCTCCTCAGAGGATAAACTCTGATAATTAGACTTTTCCTGTATTACCACTAGTAGATCAGACTTCTCACTTATTCAGTGAAATATCTCAACATCTACTCTACTGTATGTATTGGCACCAAATTTTGTATTTGTCTTGCACGTCATTACACGTGGCCCATTCATTCCACAGGTACACACCAGCTACACACTGTCACAGTTTTGCCAGATGCACTAACCTGTTAAGGACATTGTATGATATTTATAGGTCCCCTCATTTTTCATGTAGCACCAGCAGCAGGTCAAATTTCACTTATCAACCAAAAAAATTGCTTCCATAAAAAAATACAAATTGTGAAGTTGTTTAAAACTACATTCTAAACAAAGTTAGGCAATCCAGTTTTCTTCTTGTTAAACCAGCGTGCCATTTTATCTGTAGCTTATCACTAGTACTCTCATTTGAAAGAGGAGTGCTCATCGTGCTGCTCTGTTCTGCCAATACTGAAGTTTGTTCCAGTTCCAGTTTAGATGTGATAGCCCAGTAGTAGCATTTAAACTATAAAAAGAGAAAATCTACAAACTAGTGCGGTAATGTTGATGTTCATATAACTAATATATGGAGAATTAATAATCTGTGTAAAGCAGGATTCGGGAACACTAAAAAGGAAGATTAGATAAAACACAATAAATCACTGGTTGTTGTCATGATTTTAAGTGAAATGTGTTTTATCATGAACTTATTTAACTGAATTAGTCGCAGTTTAATACTTTTTTTCTGGAACACATTTGTAGTTGGGAGTCAGTTTCTTTGGACCGGCTTTTAGGACCATCAAAAATTCCATTGATTAAATACAGGAGACTGATCATATAGCAAACCTCATCACAGCCTCAGGTTTATTTTATTGTAATTAAACATCATCCTGGACAATATTTGTAAAACTCCTTGACTTCCTTCTGCTGCTGCTGTGAAACAGAAACATTTCTATGTCTAACTCAAGGCTCTTGAAAACACCTTCTAGACAATTAGGGTTTGTCATTACAAGTGGCCCATCCATTCCACGCACGTGCCACACCAGGTACACACTGTCACAGTTTTGCAGGCGGCCTATGTATGACTGACATGCTTTCACTTGCATTTATTTCCAATCACACAGGTTCAACACTTTCATTTTTCACATCACACAGGCCTCAGCACTTCATTTGTTACACTAAATCAGTCTATTGTTGATCTTCTGTATTTATTTATGTGACCCTGTACACAGCACCCCCAGCGTTGATAGGCTATTACTTGTGACGGTGTAAACCAGACACTTTCTGTTTTCCACATTAATGCAAAAAAAATTTTTTTTATATCTATAATCTAGAATGTGATTAGAACAAAATATGTTACTGTATTTTTAATTTTTAATTTTTTTTAATTGATATTCAAATCTAAGTGCAGAGGTAATGCATGTCAAAACTTTAAATCACAAAGATCTCATGGTTAGGTATCTCTTCTCTTG